CCGACTTTCATTAAATCAGACAACCTAGAGCCCCTATTAGTCTGGATTAATAAGGTTCTACTGTATTATTAAATTTAGAGCCGATACTAACAGTAAAAATTGGTTAGTTTGAGGGTTAGTATACTTCATACCACGAAAGAATGCATTGGATAGAGCACCCGATTGTTTGTTTTGAGGTCCCCCCCCCAAGACATTTAATAAGTGTATACAGSGACCGATRTGGGAGAATGAACGAAAATTGGCCGGCTGCAGTATGCGTTCTTTTATGGCACGGAGTATAGTTAAATAGGTAATTGCTTACTGCAATGTATGCTAATGTGCCTATATCATTGGGTACGGCAAAATGTAATAAAATATGTAAAACCTCTTAAGATTAATACTTTTTGAATTAGGAAATTCAATCAGTTATATTAATTATGCATATTTACTTATGTATTTGTAATCTTATGACATTTTTATAAAAAGAACTAAGTGTAACGATCATGTACTTAATTTTCAAGCTTAATGACAAAATATAAAATAATATTATTTTTAAAAAGAAACTAAAAAATTTAAAATGTATTAAAGTATAAATTCCTAGGTTTAGGTAATACGTTTTTAACAACAAAAACATAATTAATTGGTAGCAAATTTTAGTGATCTTGATGATTAAAATCCATTTTTTCAACTTTCAACGCAAAAATATTTYCTATGTTTTTTAATATAAAGGTGTCTCACGAAGATTTACTTATTATGTAAAAAATTAAAAATATATTTTTTTAAATCATTTCCAAAAAATTGACTTAAGCCATTTTGTAGGTTTATTTTTCTGAAAATATTGATGTTTCAAAATTTTATTTTCGTTAATTTTCTGATTATAAATATTTTTTCTAGTTTTGAAGAAATAAAATACGATTATAACTAAGCACAMTGAGTGTCTGACCGGCCTTACGAGACCTCTGTAATAACATGTAGTGTTAAATAATTCCCAAATTTTTCTCAAAACTAAAAAAAAATTAAAGATCAGGAAATTAATGAAAATAAAATTTWGAGACATAATTTATTTTCAGAAAAATAAACTCTACAAAATGACTAATCAATTTTTTTGAAATGATTAAATTAAAATAATTGTAGTTCTCATCCCTGTGATAATGTGATGATTACAAAACCAGAATTTTCATATCTCCATTATTTTGGGAGATATCGCAATGGGGAAATTATCATAGGACACTGTATACCTTGTTGGGGTACAAAAAACATAATATGWTTTTATCAAGTTAGGATTAWAATATTTTGAAATATTAAATGTCTAGTAAATTTTTCTATTGGTGAAGATTTTAAGCCTTAACATTTATTTATTTATTAAAAAAAATTGATTTTGTGAAAATTGGTTTTCCAAAAATCTCTAGTTAGTCCTTTTTAAAAAATTTTTTTTTTCAAATTTTAAAAAGTAACTGGWTATTTTTTTTTTAAATCCCAAAAGGATTGCAACTGCTACYGAAGAAGAAATTTTAATGATTATCATTGCACAAAGGGATGAAAGAAGAAAAACATCAACTGCAAAACACCCATAGGTAAGTACTTAATTATCTCAATATTTTTCATTATTTCACAAGGTATTTTGATAATTATATTATATGAATCAAAATTTTAAACTYAGTTTTTAAGTATTTACAATTCACTTAGTTATAACTTTCTGTTTTAATTAGTGGGTAAATTGATATATATTATACTTAAATAGGTAGTGTATTAAATAAAAATATGTTTTAAATCTAAATAAATTTACTAAAATGAACAAAACTAAGTAGGTACCACATATCTAACATTYTTACGAGCATTTTTAGTAGATATTTAGAATATGTTACTTTTTTTAATTAGATATATTAACAATTTTCGTATATACAAATTATTTTTAATCTCATAATATAATAGATTGAGAGAATAACAAAATAAAATATGTAAAAAGATAATCAAAATACCCCTAATAGTTAGGTTAAAAGTAGGTACCGATATAACTTATTTTGAATAAATACCTACATGCTTAAATTAATTCATATTTATTATTATATAATTTTCAGARTACGTTTTCTCAGTTACAGGGCTTGAAATGGACCGGAAAGCATCGAACACAGTTCCAGTTCACGGGAAAAAATTTTTAGCGTTCTGGTTCATAAAAAAAATACGTTTATCGTTCCGGTTCAAACAAATTATTACTGTACCTACCATATTTTTGTAAAAATTTAAAAATTTGGCAGAATTGTGCATTGTAAAATATTTAATAAACGACAAACAACCGCGACGCGACTTTTTGAGTTATAAATATAGAATTTAAATAAATATAAGTTTTAAAGAACAACATTTTATTTTTATTTTTATTTTATATACCTAATATATACATATTCGTAAATAAGTAAAAGAAGGTAAAAATATATTTAAATTTATAAAAGAGCTGAAAATATAAAGTGAGTTTCATAAAACAACTTATATATTATTAAAAAGGGTCAGTATTTCAGGAAGAAGAAATTATAATTTTGGTTGGGTGAAGCCCCCATTTCTATGGTATGTACTCAAAAAAAGCGTTCCGGTTCAGAAAATTTTCCATTTCGACCACTACTCAGTTATAAAATCTGATTTTCATGATTAGTTTATAGTTTGTCTATTAAAATACTAACAATTCAAATTTGGCATAAACGAGTCTAACAGTGTTAAAGAATACATTGCAACCAATGAAGGATTAAATGAATGTAGTACAAAATATTTAAAAAAGTATTCTACAAGATACCTTCGTTGAATACAACGAAATACAAAATCGTACCTACTACCAGTGTAATTTTAAAACAATTTGTAGGTACTTGCAAATGAGTTAATTTTTCAGAAACAATAGTCTTCCTAAGCTCATGTCAGATTTATAAAATCTTATAGACTTTACTTACCAATTAAGACATTCATGGGATCATGAAATAAGTGTTAGATCTTACATGTAGATAATTTTATTTCATAACTAATATATACACAATTTACAGACACGACGAAATCAGTGACGAGATGAAAAAAAATATCGAAAATGACGCGACACCACCACACACAAAATAGTGTTAGGCTTCGTATAGGATTGACACCCGCTGGGCGCGTGTCGACCACAATTGTGTAGAAGCACAACTTCATGAGACAAAATAACACGCAATAACAAAATCGTTTTGGTCCGTGGGCGCGATAAACATTTCCAAATTCGATCAGTGTCTTGTATAAACTCGAAAAAAATGTCCAACCCCTCCCCACCCCGCTAAGGAACGTGGCCCCGGACAATGTGTACGACCATCACAATAATAATAATAATAACACGGCGGTGGTAGGCGGGCGGCCGGGGGCCCCTCGTCGAGTGGCCAAGGTGGTTTCGTTGGCCACTTGGCCACAGTGAGTGAAATATCAAATCCGTTTCCCAAGCAGACTTCGTTGTCGTCCGACTTACTCGACCACCATTTTGTGCTGGCCAAGGGAGCGGCGGCGGTGGTAAACCCGCCGCAACGCCCGGCCGCCGCCGACGCGTAAAACCCTACACAAAGCTCGGCATTAACCRATTTGTTACGTACATGATGTTCCTGGCAGCCGGAGTGTAATCCAACGGACGTTTTTGCTGTACATCGGACACTTTTCACGCACACAAATACAAAAAGTTGCAATAATAATATTAATATCGCAGTCTATGCACACACACACTCACTTACACACACACACACACACACACATACGCACACGGGAGAAACACCGCCGAAGCGTTAACGGCGAAGACGTTTGTGTTTCAACGAACTGACGATTCACAAACGGTACGTATGTCACGGCGATCACCAATACTACGATTATCCGTGCAGTATGACGACGGAGACAACAACTACGAGCTTTCGCGAGACTTGGGGTTTATTATCGTGTTMAATCGCGAAACGCTACGGGACTACGGAACAATAACAAGAGCGGCCATTTGCAATGCACATCACTGGCTATCGCAGTGTGGCCAACGTATCAGCACACTAAATGTCCCGCTAGTGGCAGTGTGCTACGCCACCTCCGACGATGATCCTGTCGGCTCATCGGCTGACTAAGTCGCGTGCGCTAAAAATTCCGGACATTCGTGACAGACAAATACTATAATCGGGGAGGTACTAGGTTGACGCTTCATCTAATTTTGGATATTTCAGAAAATTTCACCGAATAGGTTGGCGGCGGCCTCCAACCTGTTGGTCGCACTGCACACACTACCGAGTTGATGTAAATCGCGCGAATTCGAATAAAATATGCCGTTTACGTCGCCGTCGGTCACCCCGCCACAAGCATTAAACAATGCAATAAGCGAATAAACTAAATCTAAGTCATCGACGGCAAGGCGAAAAAGATGATTTCGGTAGCGGGTAGCACCTTCCCGTCGCRAAAAATCTTTCATAGGAAATTACGACTTTTAACCCTACGACGGCCTTGTTAGCACAAGCTCCAAAAGTGTTGGCGCACCTGACGTTATCGCTAATACACCCTTCCGAAAAATATCATATGTATAATAATCGCTGTCAGTTGTTAGATAACTATGGTTGATGATTCAAAATCCAAAAATTTATTAAACCAACGATTTTCATAATGTTCAGAAATTTTAATATCTGAGCAATAATGCCTTGCCTGAATCACTGTTCCACCATGCAATAAAAAATATAAGAGCCACGATGTTTTAGTCGGTTAATAATTAGTATCCACTCAACTCGTCATACTCACTCGGTCGACACAAGGTTTTATCAGGATTTGTAAAATGATAGTTGGATTTTATCTTTTGTATAAAAATAAAACCAAGTATTACCAAGCATTAAACTAGAGTTCTAGGGTTTGATTTAACTATTTAAACTGTTAGCTTTATAGTAATGAGGTATTATGCTTTCAGTTGTTAATTATTGATACAATAATTGTATTACAATTTAACTATAACCAGTATAACTTCATGATTTTTATACATTTACAATAATATCTAGTAGTAGAATACAATCAGTAGCGCATAATAATTAATTATATTTTATCAATACAATAAAGTGTATTCATTGACTCTTCTGATCAAATAAATTTACATAGAACAACTAGTTACATTATGACATAGGTATTTTTAATCATCGGCAGGACAAGATGAGAAAAGTCCTAATTTCCTCATTCTTTCAAAGTCCTTGTCAGCATCATAGTGTCTATAAAATAAAAAATTAAATGTGTTAAACACTATTCACAATAAAGAGATGTATACATTACTTGTAGAATTCTGCGTAAGCCTTCTTTCGAGGTTCACCAATGGCATATTTGTATGTCAAACCAACTCCAATGGATAGTACAACACTGAATACGAGGTGGAACTTGGTTTTCTTATCGTAAAGTCCACGTAATTGTGGTTTTGCTAATTTTTGTACTACTGCTCCAGCAGACATTATTCTAAAACAGAATTTTATRTTAAGTTTATATTGACATAACAATAATTATAAAATAAATATTATACCAATAATGTTAAGACAAACAATATATACCCTTATTTGTGAGGTAAARTTATGACACTAACTACATCTTTTATTCATAAATGAAAAATRTATGTTAATTTCAAAGATATATTTTATTATTATGAAATCTTAAATAATAAAAATTAACGTGGTACACTATGGTTCTAACTCTTGTAATATACATCCTTATACAGTTACACTCTAAGTAAAGTGTATGAACACCCAACATTTTTCATAAATAAGATAGAGGAGCACATTTTTTACAAATTAACAAGTTGTTATTTGAGTATCTAATAATTATAAYCAAGTTAAACTTTAACTTAATTTTCAGAAATTGACCTTCACATTATCAACTTAAGTTTACGGACATTGTCCAAAATAACTTACTCTGATGTCTATTAAAATTACTTAAATAATATTTACCTGTTTGGTGAATGAATAGTTATCCAAAATAGATATTTAACTTTCAGAGAAAGTAAATAACTCACGAGCACAAGACAAGCCAAAATTGTAATACCAAGCAATTGCAAATAATTTCGGTATGTACAACTGTACGAGAATAAGGTGTTTCAATGTTTGGTAAAAATTACTTAAATCTTCTAAACATCTGTTTAAGCTGTTATCTGTTACCCTGACTAAATATCATGGAGGAATAAAATATTGATTTCTATTCTATTTCATATATATTTGATAACATAATTGTATTAGAAAGTAAAGTTCTATACCTAGGTAACAAATTTTATGAGTCGACAAACAACAATTTCACGTTCCACGGTTCTACCTTCTACCATTCTTTGTTAAAACGTCGGAGGCTAACWAATAACTACTTTTGAAATAAATTAAAATTTTAAGTATTTCATTACATTTACCATTTCCATCAATCATCTTTTGCTCTCCAAACATTTATCCATTCTAAATACTAGTTTAAACATTTTAAATYACTTATAATAATTTGTAAAAGACGAGTGTTAGAAATCAATTAAACGATACTCGATCACTTACAATAGTGTATATTATTATATAAATACATTTAATTTTTTAATTTTTTTAATTCTCCATAGCTCTAGTTTAGTCAATTTTGGGTTTAGGACACAAGTTGATACATCAAAATGGCTTGAAAAAAATCGATAAACCCCAATATGATATTCAAGTTACAGGTTGCCATTAAAAAAAATGTAAGTTTTATTGCGCATGCGCAAGATACATGAGTTAAAA